CCATTGTTTAGGACATTATCTCTCACGTTTGAATTACCCCCCAAGTTAGGCATGCCACTACCATTATTTTGATTTGGCACTGTGGTACCTCCTTGGTTTGAAGTAGAGGGACCAGAAAGCGACTCCACCCCTTGATTCAGATTTAGGACAGAGGGATTATGTCCCACAATTGTCCTGGTTTGAAAGTGGTTTGTAAGAGGTATAGCCGGTTGACATATTTGGCCTACTAACTTATCCATTGTTTCGTTTAACGTCTTTAGCTATTTGGCCATATTGTCATAGTGTGCGTTTCCATTTTGTGTAAATCTTTCCATATTATGAATACTTCGAAGATTTACCTGTTCAACGAAGTCTTGCGTGAGTTCTCCAAGCAATGCACGCATGGTTCGAGGACTCAACTCCGTCATTAGTTCGTAACGACTGTTACTGCTCTGATTTTGTCCATCTATTCGTGGAGAGGCATGCTGCTCCTCATATCGCTCGATTACAGACTGGATTCCTCCCTGACTTGCTCCTTCCTTGTCGGATTTCTGAGGCATATTGTTTCACCTTTTGTATTTTCAACACCTAACACCATTGTCCCATCGGGCGTGCCAAATTGTTTTGCGCGGGTTAAGTCGCTAACAATTAAAAAGGGTCAGACGATTGTGTAAGGGACGAAACCTCTTGAGACAAAGTTCCAAAAAAGGATGTTCTTTTATTGGCGATGAACTTTACAATTGGGAATGAAAAACAACGTGCCTCCAAGGGGCGCAAGCACACGAGTTACAGAAAGAAAGATGTTTAAATCTAAAAGCTAAGGAAATGAAAATTACATATTCTCTGTTCGAGAGTTTTGGATTCGGTCCTTTGCTTCTGCGTCCTTTCTCCCTTTTATACCTCATAGACGATCTCTTTGTGATTAACTACCCTGAAAACTGCTTGATCGTCCTATAACTACCCACTTTCTTTGTAGTAGCCATTTTGTCATGAAACTGCCTCTTAACTGCTGCCATTATCTTTCATCGTTCAACCGCTTTTGATTGAATTCCTTGAATCGTGGAACGTGATAAGGCTACATTAACAACTGCCTTGATAACTGCATTCCTTGATAACCACGATGCGTTATGTTTATTGATACCTTGGGCGACTTGAAAGTTTGGGCGAGAGTAGAATAACAGCTCTGGGCGACCGTATGACACTCCATTCGTTCAGATTCTGGGCGACTTGCAAATTTGGGCGATGGCGTTACCACATTCTTGGGCCCCTTATTTGGGCCTTCACCTTGACTCGTTCGATTGGATTTCGTTCTTTGGGCCATCCGATTTGGGGATTTTCCAATTGGGCTTTACTCCTTGGGCTGAATTTTTATGTGTCAACAGTAGTGAAATGGGAAAGGTTGAAACTTTTCAGAATCTCGTTCTACTTCCAACACTTGTGTTAACTTTTCTGGTGGAAAAAAGGGGAATCAATAAGAAATCCTTATCCTTCTCGCTTGGTTCTTGGTATTGGGAATTGAAAACCAAATAATGCAAACTTGTAGATCAATACAGAAGTTAAAAACCCTGTAACGAAGTTTATATGTATATTCATGTTCAAAAGATGCATTAATACAGCATTACAGCTTTTCTCTTTCAGAAAGATGACCCTTTCACAATGAGTCAAGATAGCATTAATTTTGAAATGGAGCGAGATGACATAGATGATGAATTATCTTACAAAATTCACAGAAGAGCTGGGGTAGAAGAACTTGACATAAATCAAAATACTGAAACTGTAAGAGATACTAAGCAGAAAAACTTGACTCAATTACAAAGTTCCAAACTTTCCAAGCATAAAGAAAAGGAAGTACTCCGCACGTTTGTGGGCGTAGCATGGTAGAAGCCAGCAAAATCTACAAAGTTCAGAAAATAGCTAAGAGAATCTAAATAGCACAAACACAGTGGTGGATCTATATATATATTGACCCCTCATTAAGTAACTGGGAAAATTGTTAAAAGAGCTAATGTTTTCAAATGGCCTCACCAACAGACATCCACCTGGGGGCCGAATCATGCAATTGCCTCTCTTCTTCAACGCCACTGCCAACCACAGTGGCACCTGCATTGCTATTTGCGGTCTAAAAGGACCAAAATCCCCCTAAAATTAACCCCAAAAAATAATCAATTTATGTGCTCGAATTTGACAGTCTATATGTAGAAAAACCCATTCAAAATGTAAATCATACAGAGACGAAATTCAGGGGATCCATCCTCATGTTTGGTACAATCTCAATCATTTCATCCTCTGCAAGAAACTCCAACTACAACATTGAATTTTCATAAGAAAATCAACATTGATGCATCAAATACTGAACAAACAAAAGTTGCATAATTAACTCGATAACTATCAATTAATATAACGTGAACCTGATAATAGGGTTAAAGATGGTACCTCGGCTGCCTAAAATGCGAGGCCTGGTCCGCCATTTCTAAGAATCTGAGAAGTTTTTAGGGTTGAAATACGTGTTCCTCAATGATAGCTGCAGTAAATTCAAAAGGAAACGCAGCCACAAGGTATGGATTTTCAAAAATTGAAAATGCTAAATTCAAGAGCGTGAAGTATGAACCCCAGTCGATCCCCGAGGTGGCAGGAAATAATATACATGCGCGCCTTTTCTGATCTTTTTCCTAGGAGTAAGCAATTATATAATATTATATTTTTGAAGTTAAGATGTAGGAGATGTTTGTGTCCATTTACTTAAAAAAAAAAAAAAAAAAAAAAAA